CGTCGTGCAGAGGGACGGACATACATAAAAATGACTGTCCCATAGTACATCACTACAACAGTCAGGTGGGAGGCACAGGTTGAGAAAGCCTTCCTGCGCCCTGACTTGGAAGGGATTCTCAGGATGGTGGAGCCAATGTAACCGTAAGACACCATTGTGAATATGAATGAGCTTAATATCACAAGGAAGGATTGGATAAAAATTGTGGTTTCATGAGCTGACGTGTCACTGCAAGAAAGCTCCAGGATTGGTGGGAAATCACAGAAGAAATGGTTGATCATGTTGTACCCACAGAAAGGCAACCTGGAAATCCACATGACTGGCCCAAGAGGAAGTGCAGCTCCGAAAGCCCAAGAAACAGCTGCCAAATAATGACAAACTCGACTACTCATGATGGCAGCATAGTGCAATGGATGGCAAATGGCCACATAGCGATCAAAAGCCATGAGGGCCAAGAGGAAGTTCTCAGTGGCTCCCAGAAAGAAGAAGAAATATAGCTGGGCTATGCAGGCCTCAAAGAGAATGGTCCCATCCTGAGTCAGAAAGATCACGAGCAATTTGGGGACAGTGACAGTAGTATATCCCATTTCCAGGAGTGAGAAGTTTCCCAAAAAGAAATACATGGGGGTGTGGAGATGGGTGTTGGTACTGATCAGAAATATGATGAGAAGGTTGCCTGTGATCGTCATGATGTAGATGGCAAGGAATATGCTGAAGAATAAACTGTGCATTTTCTGAAAAGTGGGGAATCCCAGAAGAGTGAATTCTGTCACATTTGTTTCATTGATCCTTGGCATGCCTCTGGGTGCTTTTGTGAAAAAGAAGACAGGAAATGAAGGATTAAATTTTATTTCACTTTACATGCTGAAATGGCATACACACAACTACATAACTACTGTTTTTGGTGCTTGAATGCAGTTGGATGTCCTATTTTGCTCTGCAGCAAAATGAAATCATCTTTGTTGGAAGTCAAACATGGCCATTGGCAGACTTCTCTCCCAGAAAAAGTCTTAATCTGCATCTTGTCTTTTCCTGTACTTGGGCCACCAAGCCACAGGCCAGGGATTCCCCAGAACCCTCTCCAGCCTTCCCTTGAAGCTGGCCCACTGCAGCTTGATTTTATTGTTCAATAGATAAAAGGATTGAGACAAACCTAAAGCTCCTTCTAGGGAATAACCCATCTCACTGAACCACACGTGATAGGGCTTGCTGTCTTCTTTCTTACACCACATCTCTCTTTCCCAGTCACCTAAAGGATTCTCTTCAAGAGTAAGGCTATGGCTAGTGCCTAAGCTGGGTGCATGAACACTTCATTGCCTACAGCTGAATCGCAATTTGCGGGTAAATAATAAAAGCTGCAGTTATGCAGCTGTGTAACTTCAGTTTAGGTGTACCAGCTGAAATAGTATTTAGACCAAAATGGGGAACAGAAATGGCATGTAGATGGTCTACAAAGAATTGCCAGCTCCACCTGGACTGGCTGAAGGGAGAGCCTCTGATACTCTACCACTTCACACTTTTCAGATAATTCATGTCATTGTTTACTAGCTCTAATCGCATGAGGTAAATACCATGGAAAGCAGCTTGAATATTTCTCTCATTTCTATATTTGACAAATTAGATAAACAAACAAAATAACATTTCCAGGCAATAACCACCCTGTTTTTCAGCTGTGGGGGAAGGAT